CATTTAAGAATCCTCAAAGTTTTCTTACAACTGATTCTGGAATTCTTTAAACAAATGCATTTTGTAGAGCAAACATTTTTCTACAAAATTAGATGTTTTACAACTCTGAGAGAATCGTGATAACTGATTTATAGCAATTCTCCCGGATGCTCCAACACCAGTCAAAAACTGGTGCATGCTTAATTGCGTGTTCTATTTCTTGCGTGGTTCCTGTCCTCTGGCATTTCAGCTAAGAATTTTCTAAATGTTAGCTACCTCTAAGACATTTGTCGATTTGTCTTGTATACTTTGCCAACCTGACCCCCATATGGGGCAATTTGTCAAAGCAAGTGTACACTGCGCGGTGTACTTGCTTTGACAAATTGGCAAAGTGTGCAAGACAAATCGACAAACGTCTTAGAGGTAGCTCGTTTTTGACGATTTCGAAATGATTTTTACATGGATCAAAGAGGAAGATCTAACGCGTGTGACTGCAAAAAATCGCAGAATTAACATTTAGAAAATTTAAAAGAATTATGATTAAAGTACTACAAGGTGGTAGAATTTCGTGCCAAGTTACCCCAATTCACTCCATTACAGATATGTGTCTGCAAGAAGTCTTTTAAATTAGTCCTTTAGAAAATTCTTAGCTGAAATGCCAGGGGACAGGAACCACGCAAGAAATAGAACACACAATTCGACTAGTAATAAATGTGAAAGAAAAAACGAACAAAACATACGGAAATCTATCCTATTGTTAGATGCTTGTTTTCTGGACGAGGTGCTACTTTTATTTTGTGTGTATGAACACAAATCACTATGTTATTCTTTATTTCTCGTTCTACCAAGTTCAGTACTCTACTATCTCATCGTGAACTACTTATTAAAACTATGAACTTCCTTGAAGAATTCGACTGTGACTAAAGTAAAATGGATCATGCATCGTGAGATGGGGTACGATAGTTTATCCAGCTTAAATTAAGTTATTTGCATCCGTTGTATTTTAAGATCTTTTCTTTTTAGAGTGTGTATCTAAAATTTCTTGTTTGAAATATGACCGAACACAAGAATCATGTATGAACATCGACAAGAATGTGGATTAGAGACTTCTTGTAAACCTCTATATTTTCGTTTTTTGTGTAGGTGTGCATTGATAACAGCTGGTGGTTTATCACGAAGAGCAGTAAATACCATTTGTAGTACAATCTTCTCCAACACAATAAGTATGGCTACCAATCCGATAAAGTCAGTCAAATACTCTTTTTCTTTTGCTTGAGGATATACCATTCTTTTAGTGTTTACCTACAAAAACAAGTTTCTAGCAAATCTTCCCGATGCTATCTGACCAGTGTGTAAGAGTGTTCCGATGAGAACAATTAGTCATTTTTCTAACAGTTGTCCTAGCATCTTTCTTTTAAAACACATTTAGAACCTATGAGCTTTGCTCAACGTCTCGCTACTCGAATAATTACAAGAAACTTTCATGTTTTGTCTACAACTGTTGAGAGTCGGTTAGATTCTTAGTGAAGAAAAACTGCTCGTTTATAATAATTATGAAAAACTACAAAGAATAAAACAGCACTCTCACGTTTTAATCTCATCTGGACATAAGATCCTAAACATTCATCAAGAACTAGACCAAGCACCCAGTTGAAAATAATTGCCACCAGGAAAAATTCCTGCACGGCTTCTCTATTTGTTTGAAAGAACGAAACATCTTTTGGAACATCTCCATCGTATTCTGTTGACTCATCTACGCTATCTATTACCACCAAGGGGGAAAAAACAACACTTCACTTGACCACACTACACTTTTCTCACTACGATAGTGGTCTTGTAGTGGCATTGTAGTGACTTTGTAGTGAGCACTCAATGCATTTCGAAGATCATGTTTCTACTTTGCAGATTATGGTACTGATATGATACATAAGTTCCTCAGCATTTAAAATATAAAAACTCTTTCCTAGACATGTGCAGAGATATCAAAGAGTCAAGTCATATCAGTTTTATCGTATGATGTAAGAAAGTAATTCCACTGAAGTAAGTTTCACTGAAAGACACACTAGGATTCCTCAATTCACTCCTGCGCCACTTGAAAAGGATCAGTCATCAGTCTGTTATACGCTGATTTCAAGATGACCCGTAATAATTCTGGTTTTGAATTGTTGTTGTCTTCTTTTTTTCTTAGCCTGATTTTGTCTAAAAATATATTGGAGATTGTTTTCTGAAAGTTTCTATTTGGTTTCTGTTCAACATTTATTTGAAAACATATCAGGTAGCAATAAGATTGATGATAATGATGACAAAGATTTATCCAATATCAATGGTCAAGAATTTTTACGATTAATTGAAAAATCATTTTGTCTAAGTATTAGAAAAATATTAGAACAGAAAAAAAAATGAAACGAGAAGGCATTAGCATTGATAGCATATAGTCGACTAGAAATACTTTATTATCGCTCTTAGTTACTTCTAAGAAGTTTTACTACATGTAATGAATGTGTAGTAGATATGTGGTGGAGTGTACTGGATGTGTAATGGGGCCTAGTGACGTGTAGTGAGGTGTAGTGGACAATCCCTTATAGTGTAGTGTGGTGTTGTTTTTTTCCCCTTGATTATCACTCATTCCCATCAAAATTATATCTGTACTCATAAAATAAAACAATAACATTGTAACACAGTTTGTTTTTGTTTGTTGTCCTGTATCATGCATCTTTTAGTCTACCCCTATTTTTGTACTAGGGGTGTTTGTTCATTTTCAAATAATTCTTATTTCACATATATCTTTAGTGCTCTATTTTTTCGGTTTAACGTTTTTGGCAATTATCTTATATTTTTTTTCCTTGGTTTCAGTCATACACAACAAAATAAATTAAATCTGAATCTGAGAGACTTCTTTCGAATAACCTTTACTTTTATTTATTTTATTTTATTTCTTTTATAAATGAAATTTCTAGGTTTATTACGAAACATTCGCTCTGTGGCTCATTTCCCTTCGCATTTGCTCCGTTTTTACTCGAAGTGACAAGTAAGACAACCAGAAGAAAACTATTAAATGTATAATTTCCTATATTTGTGGACATCTAAAATCAAATATCTATCTTGCTTCCTCGCCTCTCTTACTCGCTCTTTGTATTCACTATATTGGAAATTGAGATCTACAATGTCTAGGCGATTAATCTCTAATAAATGTTTAGATTTAACCCAAATATTGAATTACAGGTATTTCCGCTCAGGTCCTCTCACTTTTTAGCCGACAAGATCTCATTATTCCAGTCTTGTAGAGCGTCTCGAGTTACCTATGAAACCATATTTTGTTTTAAAAACGTCGTGTGGAGACTGGTATAACAAATCATGCAATATTCTACTAGCAGCAAAAAATCCTTCAGGATAACCTTCGTTTTTATTTCAATTTTCACAGAGGTTTCCGAAAAATTTTGAAGAGACCATTCGATAGAGTTCTAAAAGTTGTCTATATGGCATAATTTTTGAAGGTTTCAAGATTTAGGCTGAACCAATGGCAAATTTAACATACACTAGAGATGTGCAGGGTAGCTGTATCTGGATTCCTGTCTCTACCCCTTGAAAATTTTGAAATTTTTTCATGACGATCATTTCTTTATATTTTATATAAATCATAGATGAAATCACCATTTTTTAAAATTTCATGGTAACATACTGTTAGCGACCAGCGTTGGAGCCGATTTCATTTTTCCTAACCGAACCGGATCGGCCGGTTCAGCTTTCGAAAAAACCGGATCGGTCAGTTTACCGACCAGTTTAATGCGTAGTTCAACTGGTGACCGGCCGGTTCAATTTTGAAGTTCAACCGGTAAGAAGCCGGTCGATTCCATAGCAGATTAAAGTCCGGATTTTGTGAAAAACCGATTTTTTGCAGAAAGCTAAAAAGGTTTTGTACTTTCAGAATCTTCCAGTTCTGGTTATTCCAGTATTAACGTGAGATATTGAGCACGAAGTTCAAACCCAATACGAAAAGTTTTTTTCTAGTAGTCTCTTTAGTTAGAATATGAAATAAATAAAACACATCAGCCGTCGAAAGTCTCAAAATATAACGTGTGGTCATGAAACCAGGGACTACGAAAGTTGATTCGAGCAGAAGTGAGAACTAAGTTTGTTTTATACTTCTGAATATGCTCTTTCTCGTGATCTGTAAAAAAAAGGTTTTTAGAGCAGATGGTGTGCTGGAGAACGAAATTTCGAAAACTGGCAGAAAAATTATTATTTCTCCATGTGTTTTGATGTGAAAAAATGTGAAGTGTAGCTGAAAGGTAGAGCAAAATCATGGCTACATAATGGCTGGTTCAGATTTTCTTCCTTTCAAAACGTTAACACAGGAAGTCGTTTTCGATTTTCGAAAGTTTTCATTGTTTTCTCCTTTCGTATAATTTGAGAAATTTCTTGATTGAAGTGCTGAAATTAAAGTTTAGGTATGGTTCTGTTGAGAATTTCACAGCGCACCTTTTGGTAAAAACGTTCCAGAAAGGTTGAGACTGTATGGAGTAGAACAGAAAACGAAAAAACACCCATTATATTTGTACTACCCGATATAATTCATCCATATTTGTCAAACAAAGCCCTACCCTATCCTGCAGGGTAGGTTATGATAGTGTAGGGGCGTCCGGCATATCTCTAACGTACACCTATTTTGTGCATCTTCGATTTAGAGCCACGAGCAAATTTTTTTGTTTATTACTATATATTTTCTTTCAGAGATAAATACAATGAATATCATGAAAGTAGTGGAGAATTTGCATTGTATAATATAGAAGTGTTCGATAGACTGTAATGACTGGATACTAAAACGACTTGTATCATTTTTAGGATGGAATGATGTTTAGAAATTTTGTATCATTTATCATTATCAGTTTGATATTGAGCACAGGGTTTCTCTTAATCAAATATCCGATATCATTAAGAATATTAGCTATTCTTTACCTATCTGAAACTTCAACGAATATATCGAATACTTCACTATCGTCGATATCGAGTCAAATATACACGTGTTCGTCGTGGAAAACGTTCTCATCAGATTTTAAAGTATCTCTATATAAATCATGTTTAAAGTGGGAACGTGATGACAGTTTTTGGTCTGTTGAATCTATAAGACATACTGTACATGAAAAATATTTAAATTCGTCTAGTTTAATCGTTGAAGTTGGAGGAAATATTGGTCTGGACAGCAAAGAATATATTCGCCTCTACAATTCATCATTGATCATTTTTGAACCACTAATGCCATTGTATAAAAGATTAATACGTAAATTTGGAAATAGATCAAGAACAAAAATTTATCCATATGGACTCGGTATGTATAAATTTCAACTATATTAACATTTAATTGTTCTAAATTTAGGTTCATACGCACGTCAATTAAAAATTGAAATGGCTGGTAGAAATGCTGATGCAACGAGTATATTCAAAACTATTGCTATTAATCAAACGAAAACATCATATTTTAAAACAATAAAAATTCTCAGTACAGTAGATGTTATTCGCAATATACTAGTTAAATGGAAAACTAAAATCGATTTATTAACAATCAATTGTGAAGGATGCGAGTATGAAATAATACCGTCATTAATAGAAAATTCATTAATGACAAAGATTAAAAATTTACAATTTGCAACACATATTGGCTTACTGAAAAATGAAGATCAATGCATCTATTGTGTTGTACAACAAAAGTTACACATAACACATAAATTAACATATCAGTATAAAGCACTATGGGAAAGTTGGACAATAAAGAAACATATTTTGAGCTAATCGAGATCTATTTATGTTGTTTCGTTTTTACTAGTCAACTTGTTAAATGAAGAGAATAACTGTATTCTAAGGCAAAGGAGCTCGTCTGTTCAATAATAAATGCATGTGTTTAGTTTGAGAAGAAAAGTTCGTGTTTTAAACGAAACTCCTTTGCAAGTTCATCCTCCTATCCTAATTAACGTACGATGATAATAAATCTTCAAACTTTGTTGTTACAGACAAAAACTAAAATTCGTTTATTGTTTTTTCATCATGTTTCATCGATCATGTTTTATTTTTGGCTAGTGCGTCGTTAATTTCAGCTAAAATTTTATTATATGTGTCTTGAAATGGTTGCGAGCCATCAACACAGATTAAATTTTGATGTAATAAAAATGCTTGCTCTTTCGCTTTCACATACTCTGGTCACACATGTTTGTCGAAGTAATTTACTGGATCAGGTACCCCATACTTTCGTTTTATTCTTCTTTCGCGACATACAGTTTCCGTTAAATCAAAATAATAAGCTAAATTAAAATGGGTAAGAATCTTTAAGCTCACATTGGAACAAACTAGAGCAAACAAAACTAACGGACAACACATCAAAATAAAATTGACTTTAACGTACGATAAACACGGAAGACGATCGATATGTTGTGTGTACTAAATCTCATTTGGATATTTCACTCTAGTTATTTTTGGATTTCGTTCGTTGCTAATAAGAATGATTATTTGACGTTTTACTTACCTTTATCATAAATATTTTTTAATTCTTCAATATTGAAAATAAGAAAACCTTCTATTAAAAATATATCACAAGATGATGACTTTATTATTTTTTGAATATCTTCAACAAATTTGTCGATATGTAAAGAATTTGCACTCTCCCAATCATGATGATTGAATTCTTTTAGACGAATATGGTTTGGATCTGATTCATCACGAAAATATTCATCAAGATGAATCGATTTTACGCTATATATCTTGGATAAATCTTCATTTAACTTGCGACACACCGATGTTTTCCCACCATTTGTGACACCGCCAAGGGCAACTTTTAGCATCGCTAATAAGAGCTGAAACGAAACAAAGTCGTGATAAATAGTAAGGGTCGTAGATGAGTAAGTGAATAGAGCAGTGAACTGAGCAGCTATTCGAGTTCCCGAATCGATGGAATGTTTATTGAAAAGCTCAAAATTATCGAAAACCAAGTATTTAAAATAGTAGCAAAATTGATTCAAAAGTACAGTAAGAAATGTCTTCGGATGCTTTTGTTCACAAATGTTTCCTGTATTTGACAAAGTTATTTGCAAACAGTTTCCCATCAAATCCACGGACTTGTGGATTTATCTAGAGTCTAGTGCTTTAAAGATCTGCTTTTCGATGATTGTGATGAAATTTTCAATACACATTCCGTCTCTTTAGAAACTCATGCAAACTGCTCAATTTCCTTTTCCTTTGTTTAGCTATCGTCGTTAACGAGAAAATAAAAAATAAATGTTGTCCCACAATTTTCATGTTCACAATAGTTTTCTTCAATATAGTTTTTCTATTTTATGATTCTTTTGCGAGAACACTATTTTTATACATTTATACATGTTTTGCCTCTTTTATTGTTTTATTAGTTCGATGTATTCTTGATTGGCTTGATTGTTACTTTTTACTTCTAATTTTAAATATAACACAATTCACTAGAATCACTTATATAATATTCAAAGCTGGAAAAAGTGACCATACATCCGTCCAACCTGAGTTACTATAGATCTGTAGAAACATAAAAATATACGGAAAAAACTGATTAATTGCGAATAATCTGTAAAATTGTTAAAAATCACAGATTTATTGACGATTTTGACTACATGGATAGAACAAACAATTTTTTGTGTTTCTAATACAGTCCAGAGAAAATGAAGATACCTTTTTCTCTCATGATAACTGAGTCGTTGGTAATTACACAAAGATAGACGAAAACTAGAGATTATCGGTAGGTCACACAACAAAAAAAATTATGTCTGAAAATTGTCTGTAGTTTATTTTCTCAAGAGATTGCAGTAGAAAAAATGTGACTGAAGAAGAAAAGTACGACCGATAAGAGGTGAAAAAAGATATAAACAAGACAGTGTTAAAGGTGACAGCATTCAAAAAGCACAGTGCAGATGGGATAAAATTCAATTCTTAGTGTAGATAATATTCTTCAATAGGTTAGGCGACCTGTGTCGGCCTTAATTAATCAAACGGTGTGTTCCGTTTCAAAACTCTCATTAATAGATGTGTAATTATTTTTTAATCAAGGATAAATGGCGTCGCAGCTGAACCATATCTGACGAGCACGTTGGTGCATTTTTAGATTATGAAGTTGTTGTTCTTTTACATAACGTGCCATACCGCTATTCAAAGCGATTTTTGAGCCTCTCAGTAACCGAACCATTACAATCATCACCTAATATTTTAATTAATAACAAAATTCAACTAATCGATAGTCGTTCTCATGAACTTGTCTTTCATATTCCTCATATTTATCGTTTACGTACACCATTTTCCACTAAAAATAAAACGTTATCGGATCTTATCCGATCACTTGTCGCATGGCTATACTTAAACTGTCAATCCGTTCAACTTTCAAGTGGTCAACGTCTAATATTAGCTGTCAATCTACCATTCCAATTAAGTACCATACAAACTTATAAAATCAGATGGAAAACTGAACAATTAAACAATATTTCGTCCACACTAACTAACGAGGAGTTACACCAATATCATGAATGACTTATTCCTATTTGCTCAAGTAACTTCACGATTTGATTGAAACTAAAACATTTTCTAATATTTTATTGAACCATGATATGCTGCACTTCCATTTTAGCCAAGAATGCGTTGGAATGTCTAAAACACATGTTCGACGCACAACAAAGAAAAACGAATCAAGCATTCCACTAAATTATGTTCTGAACTACAATCCTTTCAATCGTTCGTCAGATGAAAATCTTGATCTACAAATTTCAAAACACAACCCGTGAAAACCTCAAACAATCGACTATAACGGAGGGTTTACTCATCAGCGTGATTTAATATTAGACTCGTTATTTGAACAGGGTATTGTAAATCGTCAAAAACGTCCGTCCCATGCAAACTAAACTATGTTAAAACAACAGCCGAACACATTTCATTTGTTCAATGAACAGTTTATGGTGAAATATTCGATATTAAAACAATGGCAGATCCAATCGACGGCACATATTTCAACAAAAAATTACATTTCCATCAGATCTATGTTATTATGAATCGCCATCACGTTAGAATTAGAAAACAAACAGTTCTAAATGTTTATGCATAGATAATTAAAAGTGGAAGGCTCGTTATCCACGATTAGAATGTTTTTGTATTTCTGGATTTACAGTTGTTATATTGATTGAAAAATGATTTGACCATAGTTGATGATGTGATTAGATATGATATTAGCGTGTGAAGATTTGTTCATATTATCCATCAGATTTTGAACTGCAGTACGACATACTCCATTACATTTCAGAAAGTCTGTTATAAACCGAAACCGATCCGTTCGTCTTTACTATAGTCGTCCAATAATAAATATCAACTCAAAGGACAAAATTGTTGTCGTATATTGATCACCAATGTTTCAAGCACCTATATAAGGCATATGCAATGAAGATGAACTAAGATGATTTTATCGAGCTTACGTTCGTCTGTCAAGATTTTTAGACATACTGATCCAACGCGTTATAAACACGTGTTAGAAACCGGTGATTGTATCATATTCAATAATCGAAAGATGATGCATGGGAGAGAAAAATTTCACGTGAAACACGATTTACAAGGATGCTATGCTATGAACATTGACGGGTTTAAAAATAACTGTATGATTAGCAGAATGAAATGAGGAGGGCAGCCATGCGAGTAGGAAACGGCGACTTACTATAATTTTGTACAGTGAATAAATGTAGCACATTCAGGACTCTTTCACGCTTGATTTCTTCGGTGTTTATACACCGCGTCGGTACTTAATACACAATGTAAAAAGGCTAAAGCGACCACTGAGGATCGAGACACTTCCTTTCAAGAGCCAACATCGACACTTGACAATCTCCAGTGGCTGGCTCAAGTCACTTACATAAACATGCGTTGTATGAAAAAAAGATGTGCTTTTCAAAAGTGAACTTGGTGCACGGGATCACACTCAGTTTCAATGCGCTTGTCAACACATAAAATAAAATTAGTTGTGGTGTTTCTACCACATCCCATTCTTGCTTCTATAATAGCATTTACAATCTGACCTCAATAAGATATCGTATATGCTCTGAAAAACACTAGAAACTGACAGCAAACTCGAAAAAAGGAAGTTCACAAGAACGCGTGATAGTTTAGTTAAGGTTGACAGGGAAGTTAGCTTAGGAACATCAAAGACATTTTCATTTTTGTTGTTTATCCCACAAAAGTTATAAGCATTTTGTTAAGAGACTTTTGTGAGACAACGTCCTTGGTTTAAATCTTGGATTGATCTAACATGTTTAAATAAATATCTCTCTGAAAATCTTCTCCGATCGAGTTTCAAAAATTTATCACAGATATCCATTATGGCATGTGTTGTCGAATGCTGAAGTTTTTGTCCTAGCATACTTTAAAATATTTGTACTTATATGAGATTGTAGTCTAAACTGTTTAAGACTGTTTAGACTTGAAATAAATGAGTTGGCTTTCAGTTTCTAGTGTTTCTCACAGCACATACGATATTTTATTGAGGTCAGGAAATTGTACATGCAATTATAGAAGCAAGCCTATAATGTGGTAGAAACACTAAAACAACTTCCAAAAATTATTTTGATCAACCGCGTTATGGTTTATCAAAATATCCTACAGATTTAGTAACCAGTTCGATGAGTTGTACCATGAACTTTTTGGATTAAGTATACATTGTAATAAATCCTCTCCTGTTTTTAAAATATCCATTTTACTTTAAAAAAATCCTGTGTCAATTAAATCCTAGGATTTAAAAACTTTCATAAACCTTTTTGGGTTTATTATAAGGGTTCATGAAACATTAGGGTTTATGAAAATACCTTTTTCTAGAGTGTAAAAAATTTGTTACTAGTATCGATAGGATTACCATAAAATATCTGATTCTGTGGGAGTTCATTATCAAATTCACAAAGCAAGCTCAGTTCTATCTCTGTACTAAGAGTATTAAAGCGTGAATAAATGATTTATATACAAGTTTTATTTTGACTCGATCAAAAAATAAAATAATATAAGATAAAAATAATCTTTATAAAGACATGAATAACATTATAGTTTCCACAAAAATATCAAAAACAAAAAAAAAAAATAATAAAATAAAAATATTTTCTAACAAATACTGTGACAAAAAAAAAAAAAAGAAGTAAAACATCTGACATCCAAATATGTTAGATGCATACCTGAGTTGATGATTGAATTAAAAATGTGCATGTTAAGATACGTTTTATACCCTATCAAAATGTCAGAACAATTTCTGACGTGAGTTCCTTCTCAATTTTTTCACATTTTCACATATTAATCCGGAATTATCTCCACATACTGCTGATATGACTATCTTTCTAGTATCAAGAACAAGATTTATAGTTACAAAGGGTGTATAACTAAACAACGAAATGATAACTAGAAGAGATTGTTACATATTTTTCGCTAAACATAACCACTAGCACTGAGCCATTTACTCAAATGAAAAACACTATTATGGTAATGAAATGTATCATCTCGTAGAAACATAATGAATTATAAAATGTGAAATAAAAAGAGTTCGTCATTTTATAATGTTCTAAATTGATTAAAGGTATAGTACTAATCTATCTTAATACTATTTGTTGTTCTTCCGGCGGTTTTCTCGTTCTTGTAATTGTTTTTTTAATAATTCCTCCTTGATCGAGATGTGTTCCTCGATTTTTTCGTTTTTTTGTCGACTTTTTTCTTTTACTGTTTTTTCGTGTATCTGTTAAAGTATTTTGAGCTATAATTTCTTTATAACTATCGGGTATATGTGCATAGGTAGTCCCTGCACATAGACGATATTGAGTAGTTAGATCACCTGGTAAATGGAAAAACATTGTCGCATAACAATGCATATTATCTCGTAATGGTTCCAATGAAACTAAATTTTGAGAATAATCAACATTTGTTTGATTTAATAATGGAATTTCAATTGAATTTGTAACGGGAAGTGATTGAGATAAAGATTGATCAATCTATATAAAAATAAGAAATTAATATAATTACTTTAGGTTCTATCAACCATCATTAACTTAGTAGAATAATACAGTTAAAATTCACCTGTTGTTCACTCGATAGTTCTCGATATTGTTGTTCATCATCATCCTCACCATCATTCTCACTCTCATTCTGATCGTGTTGTATCATTATTTCTTCACCATTCTTAATGTCCATCGTTGTTGTTGGTGGTATATAAAATTGTATTTTTGTAAATGGTCGCTGTAATCGTTTATAAAATTCTTCACGAATTTGTACACGTCTTCGATGTACTAAATAATACCATTTCACTTTCCAAAAACATATACCAGCTGATAGAAAGAGAAAAAAACTTGAAAAAAATACGCTAACAAATACAAATAGATCAATATTCATTCGAGGTTGATACACCGATATAATGCCTTTAGCCGTAGTTTCTAATAAATTTGAAGAATAATAATGGCTATAATAAGAATTTAAATTTTTTGCTTCATAATCCGAAAAATAGAATTGTTCAGTTTGAAAATGATTATCTTGAGATGATGGTGGATATTTGAGATCACGAGAATACTTGGTGGTAGTAAGAATTGGATTTGAAACACTTTTAATTTTTGATGTAACATCGATTAAAATACAACGTAAATTTTCTTGAGTAAAATCAATTTTTTGTGGTGATAACAATATTGTTAAACGATAACTAACATTTCGAACGATCAAAATTTTATCGGGATCAGAGTATAAAACACCTGAAACAAATAGAAAATAAACAATGCTTGTTTCCTTGAGGAGTAAAACAAATCTCATAGTATAATCACGAACACTGCCCCAACAGCAAAAGATTAAAAACTCAATAATAAATAAACTATTCACGCTAGATAGGCGTTTCTTTTTCATGCGACATTTTTTACAAAAAGATTAGTAAAATGCAAAAAGTAGCCATTTCAATCGTAATCGTGATGCGGGTGAATGAATATTTTAATCAATTAAGTATCGACACTTTGCTAATTAAGAAATTTTTATTTTCTTTTGTTAGTTGGAAAGATCTGTACGCAGACGATCGACATCCAAGTAGGTAGTTGAAAAATTTGGAAAATTTTCGTAAAATGGTGGTCTCATGTAGACTACCTCGTGTAAATTCTGCTGGTGTCAACTCTCCTGTTTATCAAGGAAAAGATCTTAACTTACTGTATTCATCCCTTCAGCATTACACAACGTACGCAGACGTCAAATACTAATATTGATATAATAGTTGGAGCGCAACTAATAAACATAAACATTTCGAAGAATGAATACTTCGGAGGGTAACCGAGACTCAAAAATTACTCAGTACCAAATATCTTAAAAAGCCTTCTGTTGTACACTCTATGACGTACTATATTAAATATCGCCGCTGAATGATGTGTTATCTATAACTATATTTTTCCTGAAGGTTTTCTAGGATAGTTCTTGATGATGGACACATGGAGATTTCACCACCTGTATCTTCAGAAATCTGGTCTCTATATATCCACCGCATAGTTTCACTTTTACAAGCTCTGATACCGCCAATTTGAAGACTAACTCGAGTTACACACATGAAAAAAAGTTCTTCACCTACCGAATAAGTTGTGTTCTCGTGCTTTTGCCTCATTTTGAAGTTTATCTAAACTTCAGCGAAAAATTTATTAGATAGAGCTAAACATTTGTTTCATATATATAACTCGAGTTGCTGTTCGACTTGGTGGTATTAGAGTCTGTTGAACTGAAACTGTGGAGTGAATCTCTGGAGACAGATGGTGAAAATTTTCATGAGTCTAAATGATTATTAGATTCGTGGTCAGTGTCAAGACTTATCTTAGAAAAAGTCCTTTTAATCACCGAAGAAGACTCTCTCATTAGTGCATCGTGGGCATTTTTGAACTGCAGCCCGATGTCGAAAAATGCGAATATTACCAGCTCGGTTCGCGAATTACGATATACTGACTTCTAGCACCGAATCTGATCTACCACGATCCAACAGAAAAATGCACTTTTCTCGTAACAATCGTACTCTTTTCATGCAATCACAAGCAACGCGTATGCTATTTAACCACGGTTTTTAATCAAAACCGTTATTTAAAAAATTTGTTCTAGATGCAAACGCGTTTTTACATTCGAGAAAATACTTATGAGTCGCATAGAGCCAAGAAGCGCCTACTTTAGATACAACTTGTATCGTAAAAATTAATTTGCAAACAGATTTCCTTTACCTAAATTTTTGTCATTAGTCGTTGCATTATATTCATGAATAATTTGTTCCAACTTTATCCCTTTGGATAAGATAGACGTATCGAAATAAATGTACGGATAACCATCATGA